ATTCTCCTGACAAAAGTCCCATTACATGCGCTCCGCGGGATCCAGAACTCGTGTATACACTACATTACTGTAATTTGATTTTTTTGCCATTTCCAGTTTTAAATTTCTTGCATATCTAAATTTATTAGGCTTAAAATTTATTAAATTGTATTTTACTGACTTGTTATAAGACGTTTCTTGAGTTTTGTGCAAAATATAGAATTACCAGATATTAGCGAACAAAAAGCAAGCTTATCACCAAGTTGGAACTTACACTCAGGCTTAGGATTAATTTCCTAACATTTTTAAAGTATATCTTTTTGTGTATTTTTTTGTGCTCTTTTCGATGGCGAAGTTAGTTTTTTCAAATATATTTATTTTGTTAGATGTTTTCGGAAAACCCGGAAAAAATCACATGGGAAAAAAATTTAAAAAAAACTACGCCTCTGGTTTCCTGCGAATTCCCGAAAAATTATGTCAGATTTCGCCGCGCAACTTCTCTCATGGGCACATATGTCTAACATTTATAATTTCGCCACAAATTCATCGCATATTTCATGTCCATGGTTCTGATCAAAAAAACGAAAAAACGACTTTTTGGTAAAAGCACTTCTGGCGGCGAGAAATTCGCCATTAAAACTACCTGTGCAATGAATTTCCGAACTATTTTTGCCTCCTCTTTCGAATGGTGCGTTTATTTTCACTATCGGAATGATACTTGCCCAGATAATTAGCATTTTTACAATGGAAAATTCCGGAAAACCCGGTTTTTCCTAATTTAAAAAAAATTGAAAAACTGCTACATCTTTTTTTCTTTTTTTCGGAAAGATCACATCAAAATACACAAGGTCCTTTTTGTTTCATCCAATTACAAATTAATGTAAGCTCGAAGGGGCTTTTTTTCGTTATTTAATTGGACTACAACACTATCAAACGATTCAATTTGTAATAATCGGGGTTATGATTGACAAGTAATGTTATTTTTAACAGACACGTTATTTGTGAGCAGCTTGTTATTTCTGTATGTTTAAAAAATAACAGACCTGTTAAAAATAACAGGTTGTCAATCATAACCCCCAATATGAACGTTTGAAGTTTAAACTTGTCGGATAGCGAAGGCGGAGACCATGGCTATCCTTGATACGACGTGCGGCTAATTTTGAGGTAATTCTATTTTTTGCACAAAACTCAAGAAACGTCTTATAACAAGTCAGTAAAGTACAATTTAATAAATTTTAGGCCTAATAAGTTTAGGAATGTAAGAAATTTAAAACTGGAAATCACAAACAAATCAAATTACATAAATGCAGTGTATACACGAGTTTTGGATCCCGCGAAGAGCGTGTAATGGGACTTTTGTCGGGAGAATTCTACAACTTAGAAGAAACATACACACTTTAAACTTTGTATACACATTCAGAAGACATGAAATTTGGGTTTGCTCAATTTTCAGACCAAAAAACTGAAAATCGTCAATTTTAGGCAACTTTTCTCAAAAACCGTGTTTTTTGGTCGTCACTCAATGAACAGTAGTCAAAAAAATAGATAAAATATTTTTGCAGAATTTTCCGTAATGTAATCGTATTCTAGACACAATAAAGTACTCAAAAAAAAGTTTTGAGCCATTGGGTGCATTTTTGGCATTTTTGTGCCACTTCAAACTTTCGAAAAAAAATTTAGTTTTTTTTTTTTAGAGAAAAAAATTTGTTTGTTTGATATCTTGACCAATTATAATCCGATTTCGGTGAAATTCACACACGTATAAGATTTCATATTCAAGAGTAAGCTCAGTAAGTAGCATTAAAAAAATTTAAATAGTTTGGCCGTTATAGGCAAACAATGAAATTAGGCCCGCGGTACACTTTGCCCTTCCGCCATATGCCCAATTTTGGGATTTCTCTTGCCCCCTTCTGGGAATCAATAGCCACATCCCTTAAGTTCAAAACTTATTTTTGTTTTTTCAAATATCTTAATTTTTACGAAAGTTATGAAGAATAACGTTTGAACATTTAACAAATTCAATTTTTCGACCTTCGCCGCCTCAAAATAAACAAATTTCAATCGTCCATACCGCGAGAACGGTGCATCGGATCAAAATTTCTCAAGAGACATGAAAATTAGCATTTTTTCTAAGCTTTTAAATGTCGTAAACTGCGTTTTGAAAATATTGATTTATTTCCGACATGCGCCTGCTCAAAATTGAAAAATTGACAAAATCCAAAATTTCGGTACTTTCGAAAAAAACAGCTACATTTTGTTTTGCCTTTTTTTTTCGAAAAGATCACCTGAAAATACATAGAATCCATTTTGTTTCATCTAATTACAATTTAATGTAAGCTCAAAACCCGTAATTTAATTCGAATATAGGCTTTGTTACTGTTTCCCAGCGCCACTTTAGGAACAGCACTGTTAATTAGCACCCAACAGTGAATGGTCGAGTGGGGAATCCTACCAAGGCATCAGAATTAATTATAAATAATTAAATTAAATAAAAAAAATCCCGGCCAACGGTAGGATTCGAACCTGGGATCCTAGGATCCGCAGGTAGAGACTCTACCACTGAGCTACCCACCCCTCCCTGATCTTTTTCTCCCCTATTGTGTTCAGGCTTTACTAAATAACTTTATGGATATTTATGTGAGCAATAACCTATAATGTTTTTTCTAGAAATAATTATTTGATATCTTTATATCAACTTTAAACATGTCCTCGTCGCCATCATTCGTGTCTTCTCTATATTACAAATTATCCATGATCATCAAACCCAGCTCTAGCCTTTCCAAAAGTATGATGTTGACAAGCAGAATATTTTAGTTATAGGAACAGATATTTATTGATAATCGTATATATTATTAGTGCCCCTAAACGTTTGAAATTTCACTAAATAATAATCACGCCATTTACAGCTTTAGAGCCTTTTATCAGGCTTAAAATTATATAAGGTAATAAAGTTGTTACAAACAGCAAACATTTCTTAAATCGAAATATTTACAAACATAGCTCAACGACTTCATATTAGGAAACTTGGAGGAAATTGGTTTCAGAAAATCGATTTCACATAAAACTAAAATACATTGAATCAAATGGGAGCGGTTATCCTAGCCTGCAATCAATTTATGGGTCGGAAACAGTTTCCATCGAGTTGCATAGCGTGAAACCTACCCGGAAATTCGGGTGAAACTTGTAGTTTCGCGCGCTGTAGCGAGGCATTGTGTCAAATGTAGTATTTGATAGAGAACCGATTGCATAAAATTATGTCATGTTATGTTGTGATTGTTATGCTCTCACAATAATATCAGGCTTTGGGACGTTAGCCCCTGCTGAGTATTTATCTTATTGTTGTTTACAATTTGAAGATGTCGATTCCTGTTTTCAGGTTTTTATATATCTTAGCAATTCGTGAAATGATTCTTTTGATGTTCGGAAATTATTGATACATGGTGTTGCCAAACCTCTGTACTTTACAGACGTGTTAGGGAAATCTAAAGAAAACGAAAACCTAAATAGGGGAGACTGGGGCTACTGTGGACACGGGGCAAAAGTGGACATTGCCATTTTTCTCATCAGAAACCGTTTCATTTAGGCGCCACTGCATTGCAAGTTCTGTTCTTATTCGAACTTCAATCCTGTAAAGTTTGGCAACCCTGTTGGATCTAGTTTTGGCGCTATAACTGTTAATGTAAATAACGTCATTTCACAAATGTGTTCTTGTAAGTGAAATTATTGTTATATTTTAAGGGTAAGTTATAGTTTTTAAAAGGGAGTTGTGTTTTATAACAATGGCATTTTTATTTGTAATTAAATGTTTATTTAACTTTGAAATAAAAATATACGAATATATGTGTAAAATGTGCCCTTGGTGTTAGTGTGGACAGTTGTTATAGGGCTAGTGTGGACACTGTAAACACTAGCCCCAGGTTTTTTTTTTAATTGATAGAAGGCACACCTAGGTTCGCAAAACTGATCGAGCTTTGATAGATGAAGGAGTAGTTATGACAGCAGTTGCAGAAGTAATAAAAGGAGACTGCTTGAGAAAAACTGCAAACAAATGTAGCCTCAAAAAGTCCATGCTACATAAACGTGTGAAAATGGCAAAAAAGAACATGCCCTCCAAATACCTGACGCAGATGATTTGGGACAGTCTTCAAATACAACGTGGGACTTGTGGAAGAGATATTTCAGGACCAGTCAGAATGCCTGTGACCAGGCGCAGATTCTGTCTAGTCATAGTCAAGTATTTGTTTGCTGCAGTGTTGTCAAGATAACCTAAAAGTATTTGGTTGGCTGCTTTCTTGGCTAGTGAATCGGCAAGACGGTTACCTTTGGATATGGCGTGACCTTTGATCCATCTTAATGTGACCACTTTGTTGATGGATACTTCGGCTAAAGCTTCGTGACATTATAGTACTAACCCTGAATAAATTCGTGGTCTGTTCAGGGTGAGTAGAGTTTGTCTGCTATCTGTATAGATGAGCAAGTTCCTTCCAGTGATATTGTTTCTGGTTATTTCTTTTGCTGCTATGAGAATGGCCCCACCCTACTTTGTGACGTTGATTATGTGCGATGCACAAAATAACGTGATTTAAGTGGTTTCAAGCAGGCAAATTGTTTCACGAATCTGTTGACATGTTGACCTCTCTTTTTAGTTACAGTCTCACTCGGGTTTACTCAGAATAGTGTGCCATGGAGACACCATTAGCCTAAGCACAGTGGCGTACCCAAAAATAGAGATTAACACGTATGAAAACAATAAAATTATTAAAATTGAATTTATATATTTATGTTATTTATTTTAAAATAATGAGTTTTTATGAAATGTAACTGGGTGTTCACTGGTTAAGAAAGACCAAAATGCAGAATAAAATATTGTCATAAACAAAATAAATGAAAGTGTCCGGCGAAGTACTAACGCGGCATAAGAAACGTTTTTCAATTCGAGAAAATTGAGTCTGCCAAACGTAATATATTTCTAATATCAAATTCTGATATATTAACAGTTCTAAAAGGCTTTCCATAACCAGGTGATAGGAAATCAAAGAAAATTAGAATTCGACAAAAACAGCAAATTCCTTGCAGAGTAATATCATCAGATAAATGGGTGGATATAGGAGAAGACAAAGAAAAAACTAAAATGAAAAAGGAACAGGAAAAAAAGATACCCATTGAAGTCATACCGGAAGAAACGAGTTCTGAAGAAGAATGCGAAGATTCTGGAAATAGTGATGATGATGATGTTTTTTTTTGGAAGGGTCTGTGCCAGGAAATGAATTTGCAAAACCAGAACATTTTATGCCTGGCTGTTTCATTTTAGCTCGAATTAAACGAACTCGAAAAATTTTGGTAATTACATTTAGATATGTGGCAACCATTTTGATTTGTTTTTCTGATGACGAATAAATTGCCCAAATTAAAGCTCACTCAAATACGAGAAACAATACCGAATAATTTCACTAATTTTTCCCTACTATATAATTTTGTTTTTGCGCCCTCTAAACTATCAGTCTGGATCGCCTGTGCCTTTATCATCCCATCTTCGTCATCTTCGCACCAACAAAATTTCAACCGCCCCTCCGTACACTTTTGAGATACAAGTTAATAATTAATTTACTTGTTTCCGCCAAAACTTATGCATGACTTTCGAAAATCAGGTCTTAAGACTTATCAAGCCATTCGGAGTGAATAGTGAAAGCTTGTGATTAATTAAAATTACTCGTAATTATGGGTTTCTTCCAACAAGAAATTTGAAACTATTATCTCTGACTTTTCCTTATGCGCATGTCCTATTTTATTGATTATTTTAAATTTTCTTTTTACTGGACTACTAGTATAAATTTATATCTGCAGAAATGAAATATTGCATCAAAATGGCGGGAAAGATAAAATGGGATCGAAATAAAATACATGGCCTTTTTAAAGAAAATGAAGGATATTAACTGGGAAAAGAGGCAGATCAAGAAAATAACCGATACAAGAAATAGAGGAGTTATGCAACAACAGTGGAAATGCAGTCCGTGTCTTAGGATAGAAAATTATGAAAAAATGATTGAAAGAAAAAGCGATATATCAAGAAAACAATCGATATAATTTTATAGGGATTATGCAAAAATATCCGAAAAACACTAAAAGAAGTGAAAATACGACATAAAAATTGGTAAAACAAAATCCAACACTCTTAAGATTATAAGGAAACGAGAACAATACGTCTATTTTGAAAAGAGAAAGTAAGCGATACATTTTTATAAGTGGCTACAATAAAATACTGATATTTAAAGAGAAAATAATATTGTGTTAGATTTTTTTATCAACAATTTGTCTAATAATTATTATTTGATTGCATTTACATATTGTTTGTTCAAGAAAATTATCATTTATTGGGCGAATACATTCCAGTTTTCTACAAGTCATTAACACATATTCAGTTAGGTATACGATACGCCACGATACGATAATACGAGTATGTATCTCGGATTGTATAGTTTAATAAACTTGTCTTAAAGCGCGTTTTAAACGATATAGCAATCATTTTATTAACTGTACTCAACGAGTTTAGAGTTCGTATTGATATATAAAATGAAAATTGAATTTGTTAAAACGGAACAAATGAATTTGAATGGGTAGATCGAAAAAAGTAAATAGACTAAAACGAGAACACACTCTAATAAAAACAAATTCATAATGAAAATTACTTAAAGAGATATTGTACTATAGATCATAAGTTATAATTAATTTGAAATATTAATGCTAATAAGGTTTAGTGAAAAAATAATGATGCATTTAACCCTTAACTGGTACGCAAGTTTTTTGGAACATAACTGGTATACTGGGGTCTTGTGAGACCCCAGTCATATTTTCTAAAAAACCTATAGAATAATTATTTTTTCTATATTTTTTCATTATTTAGACCATAATTGACTAGTTCTGTGAAAAAAATCATCACATTCTTAAAAAGTATTTAATCAGAAAAAATAAACAAGATATAATGCATTTTTAGACATGTTTGAACAAAAAACCAAAATAAAAAATATAAATGAAATAATTTCTGGTTGCAGTTCCGCGGGAGTTTTGTTTACTCATCGACTGTTCCCCTGAAACAAAAAAAACAACATTTTAGGAAACTACATAAAAACTGACAGCCAGGTTTTTGACTTACAGATTTTGATCATCATTGCATGAGCTGCACCGAATTAGCTGGGTTGAGTGCTGTTTGCACACAGTTTTGGAGCACTTTAAACATCTGGTTGAATACTTTTGATCTTTCACCCGTGGACAGTAAAAACATATCTGTCTTTAGCTGGGGTCTCGCTCTTTCTTCTGGCAATGGGGCCTGAATTTTTAGAATTTCAGCAATGGATGATCTTATGTTGTTTGGCAGCTTGTTGTTTTGCATTCTGTCCATCATATGATCATTGATAAGTGCTTTTCCGAGAGATATGCCATGTTCTCTTTTAGTCATTTTGATACCAGCATTCGCTGCTTTGAATAATACGTATGAGTTCACTCTTGCAATGTTCATCATAGCATAAAAGATAGCTAGTGGTCATCTTCTAGTTCGGCGGCCACACGAATAACTTGCACATTTCTGATCCAGACTGTCTACACCCGTCTTTGTTGCGTTATAGAATTCAATTATTTCTGGTTTTTGTGATTCAGGGTCTATCTCGCCAGAATGATGCATTGAAGATAGTAGAAGTACAGCTTTATATTTTTTTGGAACGTAAGATACCATTGTATGGTTCCTCGTAAACCCAAAAATTGAAGTGTTTGCTTCCCGTTGCTTGTGGGGTAGAAACTGTGGTGGTACTTCTCTTTTGTTTTTTTTTACTGTTCCTACATAAGTCAATCGCCTAGATTTCAGCTCATTTATTAGTTCTATCGATGTGAACCAATTGTCTCCTGTTACGTTCCTATTAGTATTTTCAATGGGTTTCACTAAATTTAGGACATCTAGTGTAGGAACGCTCAACTTTCTTGTTTGCCTTTCATTACTCTTTCCAGTATATACAAAAGCATTCAGGAGGTAATGGCTCTTGGCGTCACACAAGCACATAATTTTCAGTCCATATTTTGCTGGTTTACTTTTCATATACATTCTAAAGCTACACCTACCTCTGAATGCAACCAACATCTCATCAACTGTAGAATATTCAGAACATGTGTAATTATCTTGACAATTATTTACCAATATGTTAAAAATTTGTGATACCGCTGCTAATTTATCGCCCTCGTCAATTCTGTTTCTTCTACTTGCAAAGTTCTTTTGTTTATTCGGTCAAATAGTTTTAATTTTTTTATACTTTAAGCACAACATATGTTGCGGAAAATACAATTTTTCCATCTTCTGGTACAGTCAATTTATAAAAAGTATGTGGACGAATACAAATAGTTTAAAATTTTTTAAAATAATAGAACCGCATCTTTCTATTTCACATCGTGTGAAAGTTATTATTTTATTTGGTTTAAGCACGTGAGTTATTTTAAGTAAAATAAATAAGAAATAAATTAAAAAAAAAACTTTATGTTACACCTCTGGCAAAGGTATCCGTTCATTGGAAAGTGCCATGTCACACAGAAAGATTTCCTTTGACTGAAAAGCAAACGAAAATACTCAACAGCAGAGGAAAGTGTAGTGATTCGTTTTCACAAAAATAATTTCTTTTCGTGAGCGCGTCCTCATGAGTTCTTAACGAAATAGGAAAACGAAAAAGAACTTCTTGAAAAAAATATGTTTCTTATTATGTCGTCGATATGAAATACTAAAAGATGGGCCATGACCTTTGAGGGGTTCATTTCTCGTTGGCAAAATTAAGGAACGAACGAATCGTGCGCGGTTGAGATATCAAAACAAATGAAAATTGGGATTTTGAAGAAAAGCAATCATTTGGACCAAAATTAATCGTTTCGTGTCATTGGATATGAAAGACGAGAGATGAAATTTAATGTTCGAAAAATATTTGCTGTGTTGAAGAATTATGATTACAAATATACGATAATAAATAAAACACAAATTCATTTTTTACGAAGAAAAATATCATATTGAATAAATAATATAGGTAACTCTATCAAAATAGTTTGCTCAAGGACTTAATAGCACATTAGCATATCTAATTAATAATAATAATTATAATAATAATAATAATAATAATAATAATTTATTCGCAAAAGGTACAATTTATAATATACTTACATATACAGAAACTATAGTAAATAATTAAAAAAACTACGTAGAGTGTATAAAATTATAAAAACGTATATTTAAAAAGAATGGTTAACTAAAAAACTAACACTAAAGAACATATAATACTATAATGCGCGGAAGAAAGTATTATTAAATTGTGAGATGTCGAGGAGAATCTTAGAATAAGACACTAAAAAGTATTAAAAATTGATTCTTCTATTTTTTTTTTTTTATATTATTCAGTAATTTGACTGGCCTTTTGATGAATCCAGTTTTGAATTTCTATTCGGGGTATTTGCAGAAGACACAAGTTTAGTTTAGTTGTTAAAGCATTATTTGAATTTTAATTTTTTATATCAGCTGGAACTTTATTATATAATTTAGGACCGAGTTAAGTATAGTTTCTTTGTAATATGTTCCTTTCAGCTTTAGGAATATGTTCTGAATTTTGTGTAACAGTTCTGGTTGAGTAGTCATGACTAATTTTTTAAATTCATTTTTATAAAGATGTGGATATATTAGAACGATTTTAGTGAACAGTTTTCGAATATCCATTATTTTAGTTTCTAAAAATAAATCATTTGAGGGAATACCTAAATGATTTTTAAAAATAAGTTTTTGTACTACTTCTACGTCATGTAAATGAGTCTCTAATACACTTCCCCGTGCTATGAGGCCATAAGAAAGATGTGATTCTATTAACGAGTAGTAGAACTCTCAACTGTGAATCATCCAGAATATCACGAAATTTCCTAAATTTATACAGTAAGCTTCTAAGTTTTTTATAACATACTGGCATTGATTATCCCATTTTAAATGTTGGTCGACTATGACGCCCAAATATTTTATATAATTAGTATTTTTAATTTCTATTAATTCGTTATTTATACAAAGTTTAATCATACTGTAGTTTGGTAAGTTAAAAGAATATGATGTAAAAGCTAGATAGTAAGTTTTAGAATAATTCACAGTTAACAGCCTGTCACTAAACCATTCAAACACATTTTTTAGATCTGACTCTACTTTATTCTTCAAAGTGTTCCAGCAAATATCATAGTAGATAATAACTGTATCGTCAGCAAAACTAGTGAAACTTCCCATATTAGAGGTACAATAAAGATCATTTATGTATAAAT